TTCAGAAGTTTGCTTCCAGCGTATGAAACGTGAGACACAAGCAACATCCCCCCAAATCTCGTCAGACAGACGGACACGTGAAAAGACGCGTGCGAGAAAATGAGCCGAGTTCAGTCACTTGGCAGGGCAAGCTGCCCGCGGCCAGCCTGAGCCCCCCCACCTCGAACCCTCTCCTCGTCCCACGGCTTGGCCTGCGTGGGGATCACGCCTTCCCCCAGGAAGCACACGCAGCTGGAAGGGACTCCGGGTCCCCGAGAACTTCTCCGAGCACTGTCACCAGCCAAGTTGGGGCAAATCAAACCTCAGGGCTGTGAAAACAGGCTTAAAACGTCGTGAGGGCCCATAAGCCCCGACCTGCCGCGCTGGGCGCCGAGGTCCTCCCTCCAGACCCGCTGCCCGCAGGCCGCGCCCCCGCCGCATCTCCCTAACATGCCCTCTGCCAGCGGCCTGGCCCTTCCGCCAGCCGCGTACTAACGTGCTCACTCCCTTGGGACAGAAGTACGACGCCACTTCTGACGTTTTAACATTACTCCAGACTCCTGATGTTTCAGAAGACCTAGGTCCGTGGAGCAAAGCCTCAAAGATGGCCTGTGATGAGACCACCCGCAGCCACCCCGACTGACCTCGGGGGTTGTCATGCCCTAGGAGCCTCCCGCAGAAGGCAAGGCCTCAGCCACTCCTCGGGTGGACAGCCTGACCCAACCCGGCACCCCCAGCCGCCTCCCTTCTCAGCCACCTTCCCCTTTCCGTGGGGAGCTCCACCAAAGGCCCCTCCCCACGACTTCCTCGGCTGGCACAGGTGGAGGACTGTACCGCCCTCCCCACTCTTCTATCCACCCTCCTCTGGGTGCCTCACAGCCTTCTGTCCCTTTCTAGATCTTGTCCTGGGAACGTCGACATTCAAGAGGATGGCCCCTTAGTGCTTCTAGCCTGTATTTTCTCCTCTCTGAGGAACAGCTCTGCATGATCACTGTCTCTGTCATACACGACGGGCTCTGGGTGAAGGCTGGTCTCTCGGGATGACATGCCAGCCCTCCCCCTGCCCCCTGTTCACGTGTGGGCTCGAGCTCACCCCCGGCCTCGTGCTCCCCTGGGCTGGGTGTCCCTGAAGCTCACGGCCCTCCTGGGATCTCTTCTCCTTGTCCCACATGCTGTCCACTGTGTGGAGCCCTGGATGACCTCCGCCACCTGCCCGTTTCGCACCTTTTCTCACCCTGTCGAGTGCTCTGGAGGAAGGCGTGTTTCCCACTAATCCAGTCTAACATACACTCATTTCTCAGCCATACTTTCCCCTCCCGGGAGCCTTAGCAGCTCCTCTCCACACGGCCTGCTTGGCTCCCTGCCACGTGCGTTCCTCTCCTCAAAGTTTTTGCTCCTTTTTTGCCCTCCAATCTCGAGCACTGCCCCCAAGTGTCCAGGCTGATGTTACCACATGTTAAGCAGATGTCCCTGTTTGCAAAGCCTGTCCCGGTCCTGGTAGTTCTGTCCTCGGCCTGGGTGGTCCTGCCCAGGGAGGCTGTGCTCCTGCCCTGAGCCTCCGACAGCCCTGCTGCCCCCACTCCTGACTCCAGATCACAGGACAACTGGTGCGGAGACGGTTGCTCCGTGTTGCATTAATTCATTCTGGGTGCTGGGAACGAAACGGGGTATGCAAATGTATGTAAATATATTCACTTATGCAAAAATGATTTGAAAATATGCCTTTAGAGTCTCTGGAAGAAGGCTGATGACTCTGAATGCCCTCCCTGGTCAACCACGTTACTTTGTAATTCGTTATCCCTTCTGCTCACGGCTCCCCCCTACCTGCCCACTCCCGGCCTCTGCCTCCTTGTCTGGTGCCAACTCATTATTAATATAAACACATGGTGTCTCCTCTCCCCTCTCTCTATATGTGAATTTAAACACATTGATGAAGGCTCGAACTATGAGAAAAGTGTTAATTTTCACGGCGGTGGAACGTCCATTTCTTTCATCAAGTCTGACCTTCTATTAACTTTACCGGGTAGCGCCTGCCTCCCAGGCCTCACTGCCTCCTTTGCCGTGTTACGGTGTGTGCGCTCCTGCTTACGTACCGGCTCCCGCCGCAACAACCCTAGAAGTGAGCGAATCATCGCTCTTCTCCGAACCAATGAGCAGAGCTCCTGACCGTACTCAGTTCTCTGCATCGCTGTCTGCCACCTGGGCTCCACCCGCAGCGGTCGCCGCTTCCTTCCTCCACAACAGCTCCCTCCAACTGTCCCTCCAGCTCCCCTCCTTCCTCCCTGAGCCTAGCCGTGCCACCGGCACAGACACACTTTCCATTGTCTGTTTTTTTCTGTGATAGGCCTGCAACCGGGTCCTTCCCCGGAACTCCCTTGGTGGGTTCTCTGGTGGTTTCTCTGTCTCCAACGCCTTCTCACTTGGCTCTTCCGAGCCTCGCTCTGACCTGGCCCAGCCCCTGGCTTGCACACTCCTTGCCCTGAGTGCCAGGCAGGGTGTCAGGCTCTTGGCCGTTTCCATCCCCGTCTGCCACAGAAGTCTCGAGCCCCTGGCTCTTCCCTGGAACTCAGCCTGATAAGAAAAGGGCATTGGGTCTCTCTCCTGACCTCTCCCCTTAACTTAGGGGCCTGCAAACCCATCTGGTTTCCATAGGGGCAGAGGTGGGACCTTCTGTGTCCTGATAACAGGTTTCCGTTCCGCGCTTTGTGTCTGGTGGTAAAATGACCCCCATGCAAACATCTGAGGACACTGGGCAGCAAGAGGGTGACGTGCCCTTGGTCCCCAAGCCAGGAAGTGACAGAGCTGCGATTCTGATCTCACACCCCTTCCAGCTTGGGGCCTCATCCTTGGCTTTGAGGGTACACTGCAAAGGCCACCTTCTTCCCTTCTTAGACCCCAAGCTGTAGAAACACAGCTTTCCTGCATGGCCTGGGGATGGAGGCAGGAAAGATGTGTTGGGGGCGGGGGAGGGGGCGTCTGGGGAGCACAGGCCAGGGTGCATCTCTTACACAGTCACCAAGAAAGAGCCATCCAAGCTGTCCTTTGGGAGTCACACTGATCATAATCACCGCTGAGCGGTACGAGAATCCAAGGATCTAAACTCCTTAACATTTGTAGGCCTGCTGGTCTCAACCTGTCTCCAGTCTGGGCGGTTTCTGAATATACTGGGACGCATTGAGAGAAGTCTTCAGCGTTTGATTACTCTTTTCTGGGGGCAAGGATGCCCCCGAGCCAGAAGAGGCTTAACCGTTGCCCAAGGGTCAACTCACCTGGGCCCAGCTCACAGGCTCCCCTGGCTGGGTGCTCAGTGGCTCCTTTGGAAAGGAAAGCGCCTGACATTTGTTGGGGAGCTCGGGTGTCTCGAAAACCTCCAAAGGTGAAATAGAAAACTTTCCCAGTGCGATTTTCCTATTTGATCTTTTGTCTCATGTGTTCCCCTCAGGGATGAACAAGAAATACTTGTCTGAATAATTCATAGGCCCTGAGGTAGAAACATGCTGCTCCCTTTTTCTTTTTTTTTTTGCTCCTTTTCAATAAAAAGGCTGGGTACACAGTGCTGGTGATAGCTCTTCTGCGACGCTCTAGCGAAAGCGCAGAGATCTGAAAAGCTCTTTACAAATCACTCTTACAATAGAGAGACAGAAATTAAAAGCCATGTAATATTTTTAATCAAACAGACTAATGTTTGGATAATATGTAAAATTATTTATAAAGCTGTACTGAGCTACAAAATGCTCATAAAGGGAAGGTGGAAAAAAATCAAGGAGCTGTAATTATGGTAAGGTCTGATTTATTTTTAAAACTAAAAACCAGTAGTTAGTTATTTTTGAAACTGCTGAGCCCCTTGCACGTTTTGCACTATGACTATGAGAGATGGAAGAGATCAAGGGCTTTGGGGTCCTTCCGAGAACGCTTTACTTCTTAGGTACAAAACTGTACACTCCTAGAGGTACAAAACTGTACACTCCTAGCGCTGGATGACACTCACTGTCCACCTTGGTTGCTATGTTTTCATTTTATGGAAAGAAAAATGAGTGCAGATGGCTTAGGGTCTTTCTCCCCAAAGATAAAGAGTGAGCGACTGACCCCACAGGGTTGGTTCTCAGACCCCCTGTCCAGTGTTCGCTCTTCGTACGGCACACTAACCCTGATTACGGACACCGGGCTCCCAAGGGCCACCTCGGTTTCACTCTAAGGTTCCTTCTTCCTGCGGGTGATTGAATCCAACATAGCCTTCCACTGAGAAAGAAGCACAAATCCTGGCCCCCGGCCCTGGCGCACCAGCCCAGAGAAGCCGTATGGCTTTCCATCGGCCACTCAGACTTTGGTGACTTCTGAGTTACAGTTCAGGCTCTCACGGGAAGACAAAAGACCACCGGCTTTGTGGGGGCAGCTGTGCTCAATACACATGACTGACGCAGTCAGAGTAGTGATGGGAACTCTGCAGACTATTAGTCTGCCCCCCACTAACCGAAACCCAGGCAGAGGGGCAGCCGGCTCTGGGCAGGGAGAGAGCAGATCGGGGGAGCAGCCCCAGGCTTCTGGCCTGGGCACCTGGGAGGGGTGCGTGTGCACTTCTGGGGGGGCCACCACACTTGTACGCAGTGTGGAAACTAGGTGACCTACCTGGATCCTCCCTCCTCGGATGGGCTGCCCCTGCTGGCCAGTGGCCTTGGAGACAAGCTAGAGTCTCCTTGGGGGTGTGGACAGCCCTCAAGCAGCACAGAGACTAAGGTGACAGAGGCAGTGCCTGGGGACCCGGTGACCCCCCACCCCCGCACCCCTTGAGAGAACGGGACTGCTAGGGAGGGCTGTTAAGGCTGAGCACTGCCAACACCCAGGGCCCCGGCTATGTGAGCCACATGGCCATGGCACTGCTGACTCCATGCAGCATGACAGCCTGGTAGGCTAAGTGCAGGGCCTTCCAACCGCAAGAGGGTTCAAGGGTCATGAGCCACCTGCTGCTTCCAAGGGGCGCCCCCAGTCCAGGAGGAGGGTCCCGGCTCAGCTCAGAGACTCACCAGTCGCTGCATGCTCTTCACGTGGGTGGGGCTGATGGATAAGGCTTCTTCGTACCACCGCCGGGCTTCATCGAGGTTTCCCCGGAGCTCAGCAACCTGGCCACGCATGTACAGGACGTTGTGGGACATCGGGAAGAGGTTGGCAGCTTCCTGAGTACAGGCCGTGGCTTCTGCGGGCTTCCCGATGCCAATGTAGACCTCGGCTGTGGGGAGAGAGCAGAAGGCAGATGCTGTTCCGGTTCGCTGTCCTTTGGAGGCTCTGTGAAAGGCCGTGATTCTGGTTGGGGGCATTTGCAGCCCCCCTGGGCCCCACGGGACTCTGGAATATGCAGGACCCCAAGCCAGCCAGTCCCCCAGCCCGACTGGAGACAGCTGCAGGCTGACACTACTTCCCGCTCCCTGTCCTGAGGGGACTCGTCACTCCTGCTGTTGGGTCTCGGAGAGGACATGTGTCACCATCGGCCAGAGGGGACTTAGGGCTGTCTGCCTCTGCCCCCCTGTGAGGACATGCACACTCAGGGCCCACCTAGAGTTCCTGGGCATCTGGGCCGCCTGCCCTCAACTCTGACACCTTTGGGGATAAGCCGAACGAAGGGCAAGTAAAGCGATGCACACAGCACCCAAGGGCAACGGCTCTGCCCTCCAGCCTGTTCTCCTGATGCTGGGCAGCGTTCACAGGGAGAGGCCGTGATGGGATGACAACCAGTGAAGGTCACCACAACCCGTGACTAGTAACGTCCAGCACAGACACAGCCTGTTGAATACCAAGCTGTCACTTTCAAAAAAGCAGGAAAATGACCCTCTGCCCAGGAAATGACCCTCTGAGGCCTCAGCGCTCTCCTGTGGGGTCCTGAGTCACTGAAGCTCTGGCCACCTGCCTGTCTCCTGGGCACACTCAAGTGCCCTGTGATCCTAGCACCACCATTTTCCCGGTGCCAGGCCTGTGTCTTCAAGGACATGGGACATCCCTCCTCCATCCTTGGCCATATGGGTCCGGATGACTGCCCGGAGTCCTCCTCGGTGGCTGGTATGCTCTGGGCCCTTCTCCTACCTTTAGGGCAGCCCTGGCTCATGGGTTCCTGCCTGGACCACTGACCCTCCACTCCCAGTGGCCAGAAACGTCTGCATCTACACCTCGATTTACCCATAGGGTGATGTATTACATATAGTAGGATGCAGGCCAGAACAACACAATGCAAAAATAGAAAGGTTTTGCTATTTTCCCTGTGTGGCCCTCCCGAGCCTCTTCTGGAGGCCGCTTTGGAGTTGCCTCGACTAGGGCAGGGAGGTTTACCCCATTTGTGTCCCGTGATGTGTGTGCGCCCCTCTGGAATGGAGGCCGTGAGCCACGTGAGCCCAGGGACCGTGTCTGTGCCGCTCACTGCTATGAGAACAGCGCCCGGCACTGTCAGGGCTCAGGAAACACTTGCTGAATGAATGAATGAATGAATGATAACAGTCAAAGTAACAGTAGCTAACACGCACTTTGTGCCAGGAGGTGCTCTCAAGTCTCTCTTTTTTTCAATTTTAAAGATTTTATTTATTTATTCATGAGAGACACAGAGAGAGGCAGAGATACAGGCAGAGGGAGAAGCAGGCCCAGGATCACGCCCTGAGCCAAAGGCAGATGCAGACCACTGAGCAGCCCAGGTGTCCCTCTCCTTTCATCTGCATACGGTCCATAGGATCCCAGTGCCTGGCACCATCATACAGATGAGGTAACAACCCATCCCAGATCCCAGGCCAGCTAGAGGCAGAGCCTGGCTTAGGGCCTGATCAGTGGCTCCCCTGCCCCCAAGTAACATTCAGATGGATCCCTTGGCCTGGAATTTGGAGCCCTCGGTGGTGCCTGGCTCTATCGCCCTTACTAAGCTGTGTACCCACTGTCCCCAATGCCCCGGGCTCCCTCGAGGCCTGCTCAATGCCTACCCGCCTGGGCAGCCGTCTCTGACCCAGGCATCCCTCCGAGGGAGGCCAGCCTCTGTACTCTCTGGGGGCCGTGGCCCTGCATGAGCTTCTGTGGGTGGCCTGGGTATGCTCCTGGATTGCAAGCTTTCTATCTCACCACCTCCAGCTTCAAGCCCCGAGGCTGGCAGAGGGCAGGTGTGTAGCTGACTGACCTCAAGCACCCTGGATGGCCCTTCTCCTAAAGCAGCCCCTCTGTCCTGGAGATCACGTCCACCAATGACAGACTCCTCAGGCTTGGTTGGGGGGCCTCGGGGAACATGGGCCCGTACCTCCTGTCTGTTTTTCCAGCCTGTGGGCCACTTCCTGGACAGGGGAGCCCCCAGGGTGCTCACAATGCAATGTGACAGGCCGCCCCCTGCCAGCTGAGGCCCAAGGGCAGCAATGCCGGCGCAGCACCTGCCTCACTCACCTCCCGTGGAGGCCCAGCTCCCCAGGTGTTCACTAAGCACCCAAGACACGCGGGGACTCTTCAGGAGCAAGGGTGCCTGAGTCTGGCCTGGGGTTTGGGCCCTGGAGAAGCCCACCCCCTCCCGGGAGATATACCCTGTCCCACCGCCACCCCATCCACCAAGCATGTGCCTCCGTGGGCCAGACCTGCTGCAGATTTAGGTGACCTGAGGGGGCCGGAGACACCTGACTCTGGACTTGCTACCGTTTTCACAGTGGGCTCGTGTCTGTGTGTAAGGTCCGCAGGGCCCAGAGCTGACTGGGGGTGACCCATGGGGCCGTTGCCACCTAAATTCCTATGGAAAAGGGACCAGCTTGGAAGGGGGTACTGAAGGCTTCTAGAATTTTTATGACAAGAATCAAGGTCGGGGCCGGGGGTGGGGGGTGGGTGGGGCTCAAACAGCAGCATGATAGTGTGCCTGTGAGCCCTGTTTTAGGAGGGTCCTCCATGGGACCATGGGTCTTCAGGATCCCCAGCCATGCGTCTGAGGCTACTGCTTCCTTCCTGAGGAACTGATCGGAAGACGGAGACCCCGCTGAGCCACGATTATGCAAGTGGGAGAAAGAGACCAGGCCTCCTGGGACTTCTTTTCAGGGACTCAGAAGTTACAGGAGGAGCCAGTGCCTCTGGCGCAGGGTGGGGGCACACAGATGCGTGGCCTGGCTCCTCAGTGGGTCCATTTGAGCCCTGCCACCTTTCGACCCCTGCCCCAGCCCCGTTCAATTCCCCATCTTACTTCCACGCCTGTTTGTGCTGTTCCCTCTGCCCCAAATGCCTCCCTGAATGGGCATCTGTGAAGACCGACCCTCCTCACTCTAGGCCCCAGCACACTGTACCCTGCCCGGGCCTTCTCTGCACACCCCCATCTCTCGCCTGCCCCGTGTGCGCCCCGGGAAGCACTCACCCCGTCCACCTGTCCTGCGTGACCTGCAAGCCTCCCATACTGGCCACGTTCCTGGACCAGCCCGGTTGAGTCCCCTCTGCCCCTGCGTGGCGTCACACCTTGTGCAGAGAGGCCCTTCTGAAATCTTCTGCGGAACCATCTGGGGACATCGTCTGAAAGGGCTGAGCTCTGTGGTGTAGGCCTGACAACTAAGCTGCCTCCTCAGGGTTTGGGGAACCTGGAGCCAGCGGTACCCACAGTCCCGCACAGGCTCAGTTTCCTCATTCACTCGTGCTTCTGACATGGGTCAGCTGCAAGGAGGAGAAGTGGCCCAGAGCCGTGCAGGTTGCGCACCGTGCACAGTGACGGGCATGGCAGGGCCGCAATCCAGTCTGAACTCTGCAGGGCAGGCCGTGTGCCTGGCGCAGGCTGCATTTGCCCAGAGGGCTCCCAGGTGGCTCCTCATACAGGTGCGTCCAGCCAGCAAAGCCTGCTCCCCGGGGCTTAGTCTACTCAGAGGGGACACCTGTTTTGAAACTCACGCAAAGGAGCCACAGTGTGAGGTGGAGATGGCCCGAGGGCTGTACCCATACTGGAGCTGACACCTTGCACCCACCTGAGGTCTGGCAGAGACGGAGGAAGGAAAAGACTCGAGTGCTCGCAGGCTTAGATGTGAGGCCTGCAGGCAGGCAGGGAGCTAGGCCAGCTGACTCCCCGAACCTTTAAAACCAACTCCTTTACCCCAAACCTTGCTTCCCTGATCTGTGCTTGGAAAATAAACCCTAGCAGCTTAGCTGTGGGACAGCCCTGCCCATGGTGGGCTGGGGAGCCCCCAGGGTGAGCACAGGGTGCCTTCTAGAAACAGCAGGTGCTCTCAGGGCGCACCGCCCTGCTTTCATGAATTCACTGTCATATAACAGTGTGCCTGAGGGCCTGGATGAGCTTCCCACTGTGGTGCTACATCATTACAGCCTGGGGGCGCGGGGCGGGCAGCACCCTTGTCCACTTGCCCTGGAACTGTTCTTTGCTTTCTCTTTGTCTGAGGGAGGTTGGAAGTAAAAGAAGGCAGGGGCTTTGCATGTGTGTGTAGGTCCTAACCTGAGCTTCTCTGGGCTGGGCCCTGGGCTGGGACTGCAGCCCCTGTGGCGACACAGCCCAGGCTCTCCTCAGTGAAGGCCTGGCCACATGCCTCTGCCAGGCTCTTGGCTGCACCACTGACGCTTATTTCTGGGTTTCTGAGTGGTAGGGTCAACCTGTCCAGAGGGACTCCTTCCCCAGGTGCTTGGTGGGGTGGCAGGACTAGCTCCTCATCCTCTAGCTGCATTTAGGAGACGTCCATCCCCTCCAGGCCCTGGCCCAGCTGCTCTCCTGATGCCTTGATCCTTCCCCAGTGCCATCCACACCTTAGGCTGACCTTGACTCTTTGTTCAAAGAGAACACAGAAGCCAGAAGAAGCAGACCTGGAGCCTCTTCTCACCACCAGATTGACAAGCCCTCTGGTGTCCTCTGTGCCCATCCTTTCCGCTCCTTTTCTGCTGTAGGTGAAGCCAGTCCCTCTGCCTGGGCCCTGGACCCCACCATTGTCTTGCTCTCTTCGGGGATTTGGACCTGCACATATCCTATCTCTCTCTTAGGGACAAGGACGTGACTATCCCCACAGCAATCGAAATGCTTCTGTGCCAGCCAGTTGTGAAGCCACCTGATGTGAAGCCACATTCCTCCCCAGTTCCCCCTCATATCTCTCCTGTGTTGCACTGGGGTCTTCTCCGCGAGGACCAGGTGCCCCCGGCCTTGTCCTCCTCACCTGCCAGCGCCCTGCAGCCACCTCACCATGCTCTGTCCCCAGCACGCCCCCAAAGCCTCACCTGTCACGGCCTCTGACAACTCCCACATGCCACATCTAA